GGCGCCCCTGGGGAAGGCTCCGCAGAGCGCGCGGTGCAGACCGTGCACTACGGGCGGGCCACGGGCCAGAGTCCGGGCATCGGCAGGGAGGAGGAGGAGGAGGAGGCGGAGGAGGAGGAACACGGAGGAGGAGGAGGAGGAGGAGCACGGAGGAGGAGGAGGAGGAGGAGGTGGAGGAGGAGGTGGAGGAGGAGGAGGTGGAGGAGGAGGAGGAGGAGGAGGAGGAGGAGAGTCAGAGGAGGGGGGGGAAGGTACCCATGTCGCTGCAGTTCCGTCGTTTTCCCCTCTTGGGGCCTCCTCGGAGGCCCTCTTCGCCACAGCTGGACTCGCCACGAAATTCTGGTCTGAACGCACTCCGGGAGAGGTCTGGGGAGTAGCGGTATCAGTGCTTCTGAGTTTCCTTGGGATGGGGATGGGGGAGGGGGGGGAAGAGGAGGACCAGCTCAAACCCAAGACTCATCAACGATACTGCAATAACCCTTCCCTCCAAATTCCCTCCTCGTAGGCCCTGCAAGTATGCCTTTTCATTGGAGGGAGTGCCTCGTTAGAAGACAGCCGTTTGACAGCCGTTTGAAGCTCCTGAACTGTGTCAGAAGACCATTCCTGGGAGGAGGAGGAGGAGGAGGAGGAGGAGGAGGAGGAGGAGGAGGAGGAGGAGGAGAGTCAGAGGAGGGGGGGGAAGGTACCCATGCCGCTGCAGTTCCGTCGTTTTCCCCTCTTGGGGCCTCCTCGGAGGCCCTCTTCGCCACCGCTGAACTCGCCACGAAATTCTGGTCTGAACGTACTCCGAAATTCTGGTCTGAACGTACTCCGAAAGAGGTGGGAGTGCCCCGTTGGAAGACAGCCGTTTGACAGCCGTTTGAAGTTCCTGAGTTGTGTTAGATTCTAACACAGCTCAGGAACTGGGAGGACTAGGAGGAGGAGGAGGAGAGGAGGAGGAGGAGGAGGAGGAGGAGGAGGAGGACGAGGACGAGGACGAGGACGAGGAGGAGGAGGAGGAGGAGGAGGAGGAGGAGGACGAGGACCAGGACCAGGACCAGGACCAGGACCAGGACCAGGACGAGGACGAGGACGAGGATAAGGACGAGGAGGAGGAGGAGAAGGAGGAGGAGGAGGACGGGGAGGATCGGCTCGGACGAAACGGTAGGACATGGAAGGGAGGGGGTACGAAGTTTGTTGCATGCAGCTGGTCCACTCCTCGAGACCTGGGCGCCCCCCAGCGCTTACCGGCGCCAGGAAAGCCAGCTACGTGAGCTGATTCTCTAACCTACTCTTTGCTATCCTACCTTCTCGCCCCCCCCCCGAGAGTAGTGGAGTCGAAGAAGAAACAACTACATCAACTAACATAAACTTTGGGCGCCCCGCGCGGATTTCTTGGATCCGCGCTGGGCCCACCTGGCGGCGCCTCCGGCGCCGCCCCTGGCGCGCTCCGCGCGCCAGGGTGGGGGGACAACGCAGATCCAAGAAATCCGCGCGGATTTCCAACAGGTTGTGTTTATGTCTGTTTTCGTCCTCTATACTGGGGGGACAGGAGACGGGAGGAGGGCACCGCAGAGAGGGTAGCCGCATCGTTTGTTGCCCCCCGCCGTGGCCGCGCTCCGGCTGCTCTGCCTGTGGGTTCCGCTCGGGTTCACTGGGAGACACCCCGTAGACAGAGGGGCAGCGATGCGGGGCGGGGAGCTGTCGCCATGGGCGTAGGCCTCCCAGATGGGATCGGAATAGATGGGGTCGGAGAATCGCGCCACATCGGCGATGCATGGGCGATGCATCGGCGATGCGGCTCGATGTGGGGCCCACTTTCCTCCACGCCGACGTCGCCGATGTATCGCCGACGTCGCCAGTGCATGGCCGATGTATCGCCGATGCATCGCCGATGCATCGCCGATGTATCGGCGATGCGGCGAGTTCAGCCGACCCCATCTACTCGGACCCCATTTAAGGGCCTCTAATGGGGGAGACGGGTCCTGAGGGAAGCGGGTCCTCAGGGCGTTCGCCGTTTTCGGTCTCTCGGCGCCATCTTCGGGACCCGAGGGTGTCATAATATCACTTCATGGATTGGTCCCGGGGGAAGGCCCCAGAATCCAGGACCCCTTTCCCTCAGGACCCATTTCCCTCATTCTGAGATGAGGGGCGGGGAGCTCAGTGGTTCTTGGAAGCGGCAGGGCGGTGTTTGCCGTGTCCAGGAATCCTCCTGGTCTTGAGAGTGAGAACAGTAGAAGACGGCTCGCCGAAACGAAAACAAGATCGGCTTCGGGATAGAAACCGGACCCGGAGCCAGGGACACCACGGCGACGGAGCGGGAAGCATACCAGCGCCAGGATCTTGAAAAGCACGGCAAATCGAACCCATAAAGCATACGGCCTTGTTGATCCCAAAAGCCGTTAAGGCGGGGAGGGGAGGGGGCACGAAGAGAGAGGGGGGGTCGAGGGTTCAGGAAAGCGGCCCTCAACCCAATAGACCTCCTACACGGGGTCGGAGCATGTAGGGTCGGAGGACCGCGCCTGCATCGCCGATGCATTTGCGACGCGGCTCGATGTGGAGCCCGATCTTCCGCACGGGGACGTCGCCGCTGCATCGCCAGCGTCGCCGATGCGTCACCGCCTGCATCGACGATGCAGGCGCGGGCGGCCTCGTGCAGGCGCCAGCGCGCGCGCGCGCCGTCCGTTTCTGACCCGCAGCTTTTAGGCAAAGGTCACCAGGCGCTCCCAGCTCCGCAGTCTCGCCGCCCACCAAGCCACCCCAACCCAGCCCGAAGGCCCCGATTTGCCCTCCACTTCCGGTGGGGGGGGGGGATCGGGGAACATTGAACAAACCCGTGTGGAACCCGTAACACCCCCAAGCCGAATTTCGGGTCTGCAGGGTCGGGTTGTGGTGGTCTGGTAGGTAGTCCGTCGGGCGTTGCCAGTCCTGCCCCCCGAAGCTTCTCGTACGGTGCACAGTTCAAAGGCTCCGTCTGTTCTCCTCCTCCTCCTCCTCCTCCTCCTCCTCCTCCTCCCTCCTCCTCCCCCCCTCCTCCTCCTCCTCCTCCTCCTCCTCCTTCTCCTCCTCCTCCTACGCTTTTTGGGGAGCTCTCGGCCCCCCTGCGTCAGGCATGCGCCCAAACGGCTGCCGCGCGGCGCGCGCACACTCTTCGCGCGTGGCGTGACGAGGCGACCGAAGGCACATCTGGGAACCCCTGGGACCGCGAGGAGCCACACGGAACGGCGTGCTGAACTGTGCAGCGTCGAACAAGTCCAGGGCAGCCCCAGCTTGGTGATCGTTTTCTTATTCTTTGCCGATCGGCGCGGGCCCTCGCACCCTCCCCCCTCCCCCCCCCCCTGGAGTGGATCTTGGCTGTGCTTTGGCGCCTGTTTCGAGCAGGTGCAGTCTCCCCTGGCATGGACGCACTGCTGCAAACAGTCGCACTAAACCAGACCCTCCCTCCCCCCATTCCGCCCAATGTCGAAACGCCGAAAAAGAAAACGTTGACATGTCCCAGGGAGGCACATGTGTCAGGGTGCCACTCATAGGAAGCTGACTTCAGCATCGGCACTGGTATATCCGTGGTCGAACCAGCCCAATCAGGCCCACTCCGACTCAATCTGGTTGGTTCCCAGCTTATTCGGCTTCATCCCGGGCTTGAACTGGCCACCTCTAGCTTAGTGGCACCTGGTTGATCGGGCCTGATGGCCTTCGATCGTTCTCGCGAAGACATCCCAGGAGTTGCCTCCCAACAGGCGGCCTCCAACGCACCCTCTCGCGAGGCCCGGAGGGCCCCGACGGCTCCCAAAGTGGTGGGGAAAGCTGGGTGGCCGCTTGGCGTGGGAGGAAACGTGGACTCGAGCATGCAGCAGATCCGCGCAGGTCTCTTGGGTCGGCGCTGGGACCTCCTGGCGGCGACTCCTCGGGGGCGGCGAAGGGGGGGAGGGGGTGATGGCCAGGGGGGTGGATATCATGGCGTGGGCCATGATATTTCCCCAGATTTCGTGGCGCCTCTTCTCGTTTCATGACGTCCCTGGCCCCCCCGCTGGGCCGCGCACATGCCGCCGGTCATGATTTGCACCCCCCTCTTGGACACCCCCTCTTGGCCGCTCTCGAACTCCGACGTCGCCCCCGGCACACCCCGCGCGCCCGAGAAGGGGGGGGGGTCAGCGCCGCGCCGAACCAAGAAATTCTCGCCGACCTCTTAGAGCTGCTCTTCTTGGATTTCTCTCTGGCAACACCCAGCGCCCGACCATTCTCAGCGAGAAGACCTGTCACCGATGTCGATGATCCTCAGGACGTGCGTTGGCCCTGTGTGCTCAGCCCGCTCAGCTGCACCAACAGCACGCGGCCTGTGCCGGCCCTCATCACGCGAACGGCATCGCACTGGGGGGCTTCGGTGGACAAGGCGCACATTGGCGCTAAGACGAGCGGTCTGGCAGGTGCCTTCATGGGCGCCAGAGGAGATTCCTGGCAAGCACCCTCGGGCTCCTTTCGGGGGAGCGTAAGATCCGGGTTTGCCGGGACTCGGGTTCGCCATCGTTTTTTGACGACCGCGCCTCGGATTTTGACGAGGAGGAGTTTCGTGGGATGTCTGCAGCGGGAGGCCTCGTCAAAATGCAGGCTCGGCCTCGTCATTTTTTTGACGACCTCGTCGGGGATCTCAGAGTCCCCCGTACCCGGGTCTTACGTCTCCCCGATCCTTGTGAAGCGTCCTGACCAGGTGCCCCCGGGCGCCCCAAGGAAGCGCCCTGGCAGGCACAATGGCACGCCCCAGGGACGCGTCTTGGCACCAGGTCACCCGCGGGGGCGCGAAGATCACCGCGCATCGCGCGTCGCGGCCGTGGCCAGAGCGGCTGCCTTTCTCCAATGGGGGGCCGCGCGCAGGGCGCGAAGGTGATCGCGCATCACGGGGGCGCCATGCGCGGAGTTGTGCGAGCTGGTGGCAGGCAGTTACCGCCTCGACCCGGGAAGGCGTCCCTTGCAGGTCGTCCGGAGGATCATCGCCCGACGCTCCTCGGCGAGAAGCCCTGCCGCCCATGGCCGCCACCAGCGCCACCTCGCCGGCGCCGCGCGCGCCCGCGTGGCCGTGCCGCCGCCCCGCCGCGCTGAAGTCCCCGGAGGCCCAGTTCCTCTCGGCGCGGGCCGGCGACGCTGGCTGCAAGCTGCCCACGCCCCTGATGTGCCCCGGTCGCCGTGCAGGAGCCGGGCCCGGAGGTGTTTCGCCGTCTGCCAGGCTCGAGCAAGCTTGGCCGGCGGGTTCACACCGAGGGTCAGAGTCCCCAGCGAGCCTATTTGTCGTTGATCGGTGATCGTTGTCGCCATGCAGAAACCGGGCACTCAGGTTTTTTCGCCAATCGTTCATTGACGGTCCTGGGGCCCTCCACGGGCCCTGAAGCCGTCCAATCGTTCATTGACGGTCCCGGGGCCCTCCACGGGCCCTAAAGCCGTCAAGAAACGACGCAGGCGCAAGAGCTGGTCCACGGTCTGGGGTCCAGGCTCTGCGACCACTGTTCACAGAAGACAAGACGCGGATAAACATAGACGTTCGGAGATCCGCGCGAATTTCTTGGATCGGCGTTGAGGCCCGCCTTGGCTGTGCCTCCAGCGCCGCCCCTGACACGTTCCGCGCGCCAGGACGGGTTTTCGAGCGCAGATCCACGATATCCGCGCGGAACGCCCAAATTGTATGCATGCTTTTGTTCCCCAAGCGGTGTTTGTTCAGGAGGGGAAAAAACACACAGACACAATTAATCGGCGATTCCCAGAAAATATGGGAAAATATGGGAAGTGGGCGGGAAGACAAAAACGCAAACAATATAGGAAAATATGGGGGATATTTTCATTCGTGTGTATTTATTTGTGTGTCCCAGTTCCCCTTCATTTGTTTCAGTCACTTCTCTCGGGGGAGCGTAAGACCCGGGTTTGCCGGGACTCGGGTTCGCCATCGTTTTTTGACGACCGCGCCTCGGATTTTGACGAGGAGGAGTTTTGTGGGATGTCTGCAGCGGGAGGCCTCGTCAAAATGCAGGCTCGGCCTCGTCATTTTTTTGACGACCTCGTCGGGGATTTCCGAGTCCCCCGTACCCGGGTCTTACGTCCCCCTGAGGGGTGACGGCGAGCCTAGCCGGGATCCGAGAGGAGGAGGAGGAGGAGGAGGAGGAGGAGGAGGAGGAGGAGGAGGAGGAGGAGGAGGAGGAGGAGGAGGAGGAGGAGCAGGAGGGGCAGGAGGTCTCCCCGAATGGATAAGGTTGGGTATTCAGAGTGTTCGCCTTGCTGCCGCCCGTGCCGCCGCGTGGCCGCCCCGTGGGCGCCCCTTGCGCCGGGTGGGTTTCCCGAGGCTGCGCCACGCTGCCGCCAGGGCTCATTTCGATTCCTCCGATTCGATTCGATTCGATGTCGATGGATTCCGATTTCGACTCGATTCGACTTCGGATTCCGATTTGGGCTCCGATTCCTCACTGGAGGCGTACTGGCCACCCGATTTCCGTCGGTTCGACTTTTCCCGACGTGGCCGCCGATTTCCGCCGATCCGATCTATTTCGATCGCCGATCCGATTTATCGATTCGATTCTGGGCCCTCCTGCCCGTGCCGCCTCGTCGGAGCCCCGCATAGCTTGCACCACATGGCGCGCACCGCATAGCTTGCTCAACATACACTCCAGGCGATGCTTAAGAAAACCCAAGTTTTCGGCCAGAGTCTCGAGTATTCTTAACGTTTCAGTGTAAATCCCAAGATTTTGATAGAAATTCTCGGGTTTTATTCAAATTCTGAGACTATGAATTTCTTAACCCATGATTTCTTAAGCATTTCGCAGGGTGTAGCTTACATCACCCAGCTTACACCCCGCAGCGTTCACCTCCAGGCCGCACCACATAGCTCACACGACATGTCGCATTCCGCATAGCTTACGGGACATGGCTTGCGCCACATGGCTTGCGGATCGCATAGCTACCATCTTCACAGCTCACACCACATACTTTACACGACGCAGCTTGCACCACATGGCTTGCACCACATGCTGGTACCACATAGCTTACACATTCAACCTGCAATAACTCACAGCATGGGGTCCACGCTGGCGAGCCTTCTTCCTCTATCCGTCGGGTGTTGCCAGGCGTGCCCCTGGCCCAGGGTGGCTCCAGCTCTCCCAGGGAGGCGCAGATGGCTTGAAGAGCAGCCCTTACGAGGCCCTGAGGACCCCGAGGACCCCAACATCATACGAGCAGCTGGGTCCACTTCTAGCAACACTCGACTCGAGCGAACCCTAACCCTTGTGGGGCGTTGGGGTGTCGCACTCCCCAGCTGAGGCCTATTTGGCTGCAGACATCGTCCGACTTCTGAGTCCTAGCCGCTTGCTCAGAAATCTGACCTGCAGCGGCGGCAGTCACGTGTGGCTGCCTGCCTGCCCTGCGCTCGACAAGCCGATCCTGAATGCGTTTCTTCCTCTCGGGCTTGCTGTTTTTCTTCATGATTACGTTTCTCACCTGCTGCGCCCACCCAAGGGTCATGTGTTGCTCAGGCCGCTTCGCGCAAATCGTTTTTCATGCTCCGTTAGTGCCTTCTGCGTTAGTCCTTCATGCTCCGGAGCAAGAGGATCAGTATCGTCAGACCTATCCCCATCCACAGTAGGCCAGGGCTCCTTCGCCATCGGCCTGCTCCCCGCAGGGGCGGAATCACCGCGAAACCAGACGGAGACGAACGGCATATATCCCATCGAGGAGTGGTTTGTCGGACAGCGGGGTCAATGCTTTTCCAAGGCAGGTCGGGCAGGTCAAACGATGCTGAGAAGAGGACCGAGGTTTTGCCCCCCATCGCGCGGGTACCTTTCGGAGACTAGTATTTCTCCAGACTCGGGCAATTCTATTTTCATGGATGGGGCGGGAGTCGTGCGGCCCTGGAAGAAATCTTTGGCTTCTTTCTTTTCGTTTCGGATTTTTGTTCAATTGGCGGCGGGGGGAGTGAGGGGGGCAGGGAGGGGAGGGGGGCAGGTGGCGAAATGGTATGCAAGACAGTTTGCATGAACTCGTTGGAGAGTGCGCTCCTGCAGGACCCAGGCCTCCGCGCGTCGTGCAAAACGCATGGCGAGAGGCTTTGTTGACAGCATGCTGTGGCCAGGGAGCACTGCCCAGGCCCTTCTGCAAGGGCTCCCACGAGGGCGCGAAGTTATTCGCGGTCCTCGTTCCTTCTCCCCCCTCCTCCTCGTCCTCCTTTTCTCCCTTTGGGGGGGCGGCGCGAGAGCGCGAAGTTATTCGCGCTTCGCGCTTCGCGCAGCGCGAAGCGCGAAGTTGGGAGCCCTTGTTCTGGGACGCGGGGATGCAACGCCGGTCCTGGAAAGGGGTCCAGGTATGATCATGCATGGTTGACGTGCCCCCCGTGCGCTTGCCGAGATCCGAGAGGGCGTCGCCCCCCCCACCTTGATGAGAGCGATTTTCTCGACATCATCATGGGATTCTGCCGCATTGCTTTTCTGGGGTGGCTTGCGGCGATTACTGGTTCGGGTAACCCGTGGAAGTGCCGAGCGCGCAGTGCCAGCCATTAGAAACCATAAGTTCACCCCCGCACGTGGGACGTTGGACCACAGACAGCCAAAAATAATACATACGCACCAACTGTTCAAGAAGTTAGATAACCCCACGAAGTTTAGACGACAATTGCAAAATGTCAACACTGGTAAACAAATATCGGTTTTCATAGAGAGGAGGAACATAATGAGGAGGGGGAGGGGGAGGAATAATAATATGAAGCCGCGAAGAAGAGCAGAGGGGATATAATGCAAACAGGAGGAGGGGGAGGAATGTGAGGAAGAGGATGATGAGGGGAAATGGGGGGCAAGGAGGCGCGCACTCGGGCACTCACGCCGCGCGGCCAACCCCCGCTGTTTTCCCGCTCATGGTTTTTGAATTCTTCTTGTCGCTGTTTCGCGTCCCCCGAACTCCGAAACGCACCCTCCTCGATGTTCGTTTCTCGTCCTCGCCCGCGTCCTCCCTTTCCCGCTGCATGTTTCTACTTCCACCATTTTTCGATATCCCCTTGGCCAACCTTGCATCCTTGCATTTGTCGGGATATCCTGCACTGCACATTCATGGGCCCCGGGTCCGAAATCCTGGTTCCGATGTCGCACTTAATGCGGCATGGGCGCCCAGGGGCATTGCATCCTTGTTTCCCATCGGAGCCTCGACCGCCTCGGGGCCATCGCCCTTGGCTCGGGCTCCGCGGCCACCGTGGCCGTCGCGGCCCCGCGGGCCGCGCCCGGGGCCGCCGCCGCGGCCATGATCCCCGCCGCGGTGGGCCTCGGCCACGTGCGCCCGACCGCGCGCCGCCCTGGCCAGAAGGAGCGGCGAGTTACTCTACCTGTGGCGCTGGTGCTCTGGACCCGCTACGGTGGGGCAGGGGTCATTGTATTCTCTCTCTGTCTCTCTATTTTTTTCTTTCTCTCTCTCTCTCTCTCTCTCGCTCTCGCTCTGCCGCTGCGGTCAGGGGAGGCCTCGCCGATGACAGCGCATGGTCTACGACAGCCCGCGCCAGGCACCCTCCCACTTTGTGTGCTTTTGCTCGTTGCACTGCCGTTGTTCCTGCCACCCCATCCGATCATCAACGAGATATGTGGTTGGCCGCCACAGCACGACGACACCTGCGAGTTCAACTCACTGGCGACTATGTTCAGTGGATGAGCGATGATATCATCAAGGTGGCACCAGGCGCGCTCGGGTACCGATTGCAAGATTCTGATTTCCGAGGTGTGCCAGTTCATGTCAATATGGTTGCGTCCAGAGCCATCGAGGCGAGCGAGCCTCTAGGCGACGTCCCCATGGAGTCTGGTGATAAACTCTCTGTGGCCGTCGACAGGCTGCGGGCACCCCCCAAACGGCACTTGTCATCCTATGTTTCCTCCTCCTCCCCCATTCTCATTCTCCTCCTCCTCCTCCTCCTCCTCCTCCCCCTCCTCCTCCTCCTCCCCCTCCTCCTCCTCCTCCTCCTCCCTCTCCTCCTCCTCCTCCTTCTCCTCCTCCTTCCCTCTCCCCCCCTCCTCCTCATGACGTTTTGGCCGAGTGCCCAGGCTCCCCCAGATGTTCTTGTATCTCCCTGAGCACGTCATGGAGGCCGTTTTGTCTAGCAAGGTCTGGCGCGTCCAATTCCGCGACACGCCCGATGCTTCTTGGGCTCACCTTGGCTCCGCG